CTCTCTCTCTCTCTCTCTCTCTCTCTCTCTCTCTCTCTCTCTCTCTCTCTCTCTCTCTCTCTCTCTCTCTCTCTCTCTCTCTCTCTCTCTCTCTCTCTCTCTCTCTCTCTCTCTCTTTTCTCTCCACTTTCGATTCTCTTCTGAAATCTTTTATTCGTTTCTAGAGACGTCTCTCCCCTCGATTGGTCGCGTTTGGCGGGAGCGGAAACGCGATTACCTTAAAGCTCGAGGCGTGGAGTTGCCCCGTGGAAACGGAATCGAATAACCGGCTTGATTCTCACCGAGACCTAATTATCGATCGGTGGAAGGGCCGGGATCCTTGTGAGCACAACATTGATTTACGGACGTGTCGTATCCCAGGACGTGCGGCGTGCAAAGGGATTCCTCGTACATTGACTCACGGGCTGGCAGCCGTGCTAAATGCAGTTGCAACTCTCTGCCCCTGGCTCTGTTCCAGCTCTGTACAACTGTATTCCGCCTCGATGGATTCGGTAATCGAGGTCAGTGTACCCCTTCATCTCGCCTATCTATTTGCAGTGAGTGATTTAAATGGGCGACCTCTTCGCCGAACTTTGGCCCCAACGACCGGAAACAATGCAAAGATCATGTTCCACTCGAATTTTTCCTGTCATGGAACAACACTTTTCCCCTTAATTTTCGATCATTCGATTCGAGGAAAGGAGGGACGAAGGGGAAAGAAAGGTAGGATTTTGTCCGCGAGAAATAGAGGAAGAGAAATAGGTTTGAGTAGAGGTAAGAAAATTGTATCTTATACGAGAGAGAGAGTGTGCTGTCCATTCGACAATGTTTCATTTCTTTCGAATTTTTCAGGTGGAAAGAAGACTTTTTATTAATTTTCGATTCGAGGAAAGGAGACGAGGGAAAAGATAGGATAGAGAAATGTAATGTAAAGGGAGTAAAAAATTGTGTGCCTTGTATAAAAGAATATCCATTAATATGTGATAACGATAATCTTTATAAATATGTAATATGATAATCTTTCAGGTAGAGGAAGATTTTCTTTTCTGAAGGATAGAATTCTGTGGATTCTATTTCTATGGAAAAAATTGGTTAAGTGAAATTTGAATAACGAATAAAGGCGAATAATTGGATTCGTGGCAAGAAGGAAGTGGAGGAACTATTGAATGAAGATGCGCGAGGCGCGCAAGGATGGACGCGATGAAAACAATCGTGGAAATAGTTCATTTCAATCTGGAGAATCGATAAATGGGTCACCGCAGGTCGTCGGGCAATATCTCACGTATCCACGACTCGAGTATCAACTGGGTCATTCGACTGTAGCGAGAATGGGCGGCAAAAGTGACAAACTATCGAAGAAACCCCGTCTACCATTATCTTACATCGCTTCCAAGACCTAGCGCAACAATCTTTACTATCCAATGTTATTTACCCGACACCTACGCCAAAAGGAAAACAATTGACAAACGAGCCAACCTAATTCAACTATCCTCCATTAACAACACAGCGTATATCTCAATCCACCCACCATTCTCCGAGAAAATGTCGCGGAAGTCACAAGACGCCGTTTGTATTTACACTATATCCATCACTATATCCGTCATTCTCGATAATTGAATCACTCTCGATTAAAACTTGCCAATTATCTTATAAAGTCAATTGTATACTCCTCCAAGAAATTCTCGTCACCGTCAAAAATAACCAAATGTTGAACGGAAAAAGTGAAAGATTTACTCGATTGCATTCAACGAAGAAACTCAAGTCTATTCGAGGATAATCGAACCACTCCCAATTATCAATCGCAAAATTCAATTATCCAAGAAACTTTTTTCACCATCAAAATAACTTGAACCAAACGTCGAGACGAGAAAAGCAAAACAAAAAGATTGCGGAAGATTTACTCTGACAACTGCGTTCGACAAATTTCCGGAAAATTTCAAACTAATTTTTACTCGCGAAGAATAATTGAACCACTCCCGATCAAATCAATTATTCCTTCAAAAAGCCACCATCAAAATAAGCCGAAACGAACAAAAAAAAAAAAAGGAACAAAGATGCGGAACACTTACTTTGACTATTGCGTTCGACGAAAGCTTCCGTTGAAGAGACGTCGATTCGCGAGGGGGATAGAACCGGTGACAGGTGAGAAGAAGGCTCGTTCTCACGATGAACGGTACATCGGTGTGATATAACGATGGAACAAGAAGTTGTAAGCAAGCACTGTTCGTTTATATCCCGGTTGGACGAGGAGATCGCTTCGACGGGGTGGTGGTCCCGCGAATACTGAGCTTCTGGAGCCTAGAGCATCCTGGTCGATAAGCCATCCCCCTCTGGCCACCCACTCGCGCTAAAGGTACGATCACACCTGCGCTGGCCACCTCACGTGGGCTCGCGTGCATTCACACTAAACCTCGAACGCACCTTTAACCTTTCGCTTTGATTCTCTGATATATGTATATTTCGTAGTACAGTGCTTCTCAATTTTACTATATGCATTTCTCTTCTTCTTCTTTTTTTTTAATAAACGTGTAATAGAAAATTAGGATTGGAAAGTTTTGGATTCGGCAGATTTGAATGGAAAATTTTAAGGATTTAAATTCAGAGTGTATTGTTTCTTGTAGAGAATCAAAGATTTGAGAAATTTCGATTTTTGAAATTGCAATCATTCAAGTATTGTGATAACGATCATTTATTATATGAAATTTTATCGATTAAAATAAATTAATTTTAGATACAAATTGTAAGATATATAAATTTTTTAATATTAATATAATATTTTATAATATTAATATTAAAAATTTTCATGTAAAAAATGATTGTAATGATATTTCGAAAACTACTTTGTGATTTAGGAATATATAATAAATATATATTGTCTATTTGCATGCGTACTTAGTACTACTTCGTACCACATATATACCATATGAAAATTAATGCAAATCTTAAGCACAATTGTAAGATACGTAAAAATTTTCATGAAAATAATTATAACGACGAAAATTATTAAAATTAAGCTGACGATATACAGATTGAGAATATACAATAGATATGTATATACACATGTTTACTACATGCATGCGTGTACAGTTCGAAACAAGATTTCATCCCTTTAGATTACTTCGTTCCACGAGGCTACTCTTTCTATTTGCCGTGCAATTTGCTCACGTCTGTTTGAACTTCGATTTCCTCTGTCGTCCTTCTCGTTTGTTTACCTCCCTCTATTTGTCTGTTATTTATCATGCGCCGACTATTGAACCTAGATGTGATGCTCGTTATTACTTGCGTTCCGTCGAGATCCACGATGCAACAAGTATGCATACGCTTGTATAATTCGAGTCTGTTAGATGCCATAGTGTAACTCGTGATATTTAGAAATACAATAGTGGATGGAAGAAAATATAAACACGCCATTTATGTATTCGCATTGTATTTGATAAACCAAAGTACTTCTCTGAAATGTAAAATTTTTTTCTTTTGCATCGTTGAAATGTAATTTTAGAGTTTAAATTTTGAATACACTTATTAATTATATGCAAATTTTTCTTCATATTTTTTTATCTTTACTTGATATGTAAACTTTTTTTTTTCAAATATGCTTATTGCATATTAATGTTATTGGGCTGTTACTTTCCTGTGTTACTTTTAATCTGTTTCTTTTGTCAATAAGTGTACATGACAATTTGTTATTGTTTTCGCGCATGCATAATGAAGATAAATATTAGAGAATTCACGAAAGACTAATAATAAATATTGGTACGCCTACTAATTTTGCATTTTGATTAATATATTCTTTTAAATTTTTACCTTAAATGAAGATAATTAGAAGATTAAAGTTTAACAGATATTAATACAGCTTCCAACGTCCAACACGTGTAAAATTATTATCTGCATCAATATTTAATTGTGTTAGAACGTTCATTGACTTCGATAAAAGATATTAAAATTCGTGAATCGAATCAAAAATCATTTTACAAGCAAGTAAAGCGAAACAATGTATAACGCAATTGAAGATATAGCAGATAACAATAGGGAAAATAAGAAAATAAATTATAAATCCGAACACTTCGATTTATCTTGTAATATTATCATCTTGTTATTACATATCGTAATTTATTCACTGTGTAATTACTTTTTCTTTTGTTTAACATACCTTTAACCTTTAGTCTCATCCACTGACATTTTTACAATGCAAGGCGAATCATTTGATGTTTCCAAGCAGTGCGTGTTCCCTTTTTTTTTTTTTTTCATACATTTGAACATCATTTCAAGACTATGAAAAAAATCGTTGATATTTATTACAACTGTCTGACAAATTATGTTTTATTCCACTTTATTCCACTTGTAATTTTTCTAACCAACTTCGAATCATTAAAGTTTAAAAAAGACGATTTAAAATTTTAATACTATTTTGTATATATTATAATTTTGGATGAAAGAAGCTAATAAGAATCTTTATATATCTTCGCAAATATATTTAAAATTGATTGCATCTACTTCATTGCTTGCAATGTGATATTTTGTAATTACAAAACAAAAAATATTGCATAAAGTTTTAGAAACATCGATCTGCATATACGTACATCTTCACGATATTTTTATTAGTTTTTTTTTCTTGCCAAATATTAACATTTATTTAAACATGTTAATTATAACTGTCATAATGAAAATGTTCGAGATTTCTTATCTTTTGAATTTCGTCGAAATTTCAATTCGATCACTTAATAAATCACACGAAAATCATGAAAATAATCGATATTATTTGAATAATCGATAAATTTGTATTTAAACATCTAAATGCTAAGAAAGTATTATTCAGAAAATATTTCAAGACTTCTAAGATATCAAAGGTATACATATCACAATTTCTACGTTTCATTTTATCACAAATGGCAAAGATGTGATTACCAATAACGAGAAGAAAAAGTTTGATCAAAAGTATAACTTTTATGCAATGATCATAAATGGAAAGTCTCGTTGACCGTTGATTTCCATGAACGTCGAACGTAAGACGCAGATTTCACATTGTCCGTACTGTTCAGAGTGATTATTTTTAGATCATTTCAACGTGGTATAGGTGTTGTGCTATCGATAAAATATCGATGAGACCTTCTCCACAAGGTTGCCGGTCTTCATTCGAGCCTAACGCGATGCAATAATTAATTTCGTAATTAACCTTGCACAAAGTAATAACAACGTTCTAACCTAACGAAGATTCAGTTAATCGACCTCAACGCTGGTCTTCGGATTACAAAATGTACGAAAATCTTGAATTTTTGAAAAAATTTTGAACGACTCCTTTTAACCGATTGATTTTTATTTTTATTCCTCATTTTTCGCGATCGTTGAATCATTGGTAACGAGTGGTTCGTTAGGTTAGTTTGGCGGTAGAAGGAGTATATAAGTATATCGAATGCGTCTTAAGATCAATATCGATATATCTTTTCACCAAGTACACGCTTTGTAATCGAACAACTTCGGACAGTTTTCAAGACCTTCGTATTCGCTTAACATCTATTCTATTCTATTTTTAAGCATCGAAGCTTAATCGAAGCTTAACCGACGTATCGGGCAAAATACATATCTTTCTACGTTAAATGTTCTCGTTAAATGGATTTTATCGAAAGATGATCCATCGATATTTGACGATTTATATAAACGATATCGCGATTCAATTAATATTAATTAAATCGTGAGGAATGAAATATTTTTGTTCGAACAAAGTAATAATTTTATTAGCAGTTTATTTTTGCTTTTTATTTCTTTAAAGCTTTTTTAATGGATTTGCTGTTTTTTCTCAATTGCAAATGTTTCTTCGAAAAATCAACTTTATTGTGTTTATTTCCACTGAAAAATTAGAAGAATATTTGGATTTGAATGCGTTGTAATATTCATGGAAAATGCACTGATACGAAGAAACTGCCTAATTAGCCTTGAATCGATAAAGTGGTGGTGGAATATTCTCTATTCTCGGAAATTGATCGTTGACTCGTTGTGTCGAAATGAAGAATTGTTCCTTGGAAATATGGATGATCAGATACTTGACAAGAGTGTAATGTCGTCGCTCTTCTGGGAATTATAAGATAATTCTTGCAATTAATTAATAATTTTCATTTCATTCAAACTTAGAATTTGACATTAGAAACTTTTTTAAGAGGAATTTTTTTTAACGAATAAAACAATGTGTTTTTATTTGTGTAAAGTGAAATTTTAATTATCCATTGAATAATTATTAAACAAATTTTTCATATATTCTTTCTTCTGCTACAATCTTATGCTTTCTTAATACTGTAAAAATAATTCAATAATTTTTAATAATTTCAATTTTTAAAGATAATATTAATTAATGTATTTTTCTTTTCGAAGATTTTGCCATTTAAAAAATTTAACTAAAGAAAATAGCAAGCGATTCTCTTGCTCAGCAAGAATCAGAAGAATTTGGTGGAGAATATTATAGAATATCAATTTAATTTTTTAATCTTGCTTTTACTGTACATAATCGAAAATATTAGTCATTTGTTTGTCGAGCTTGCACGTCATCCAAATAAGTAAATAATCCATAATAAGTAAATTGCAGCTGTGCAAATTTGATTTAATTTTAAAAAGTAAGTAACTTCTTAGAAGTATTATTTATGGAATGATTTAATATATTTTAACTCGATTCCTGCCTTTTAAGACGTATTCTATTTCAGGAAAATTTTATTATTTTAATTTGCATGGTGTATCAATAGAGACTCCGTTTCCATCCACTGACGTAAACGAAAATAAAATGCGTTGGTGGACAATTGTGAACGCTTACTTGAGTATACTCGTGGAAACAGCACAAACAAGAATCAAGATTCTCTTAAATAGTCCAAGTATCTTATTCCTTGTTATTTTTCTAGAACAACGATGTAGGTTCAAAACAAATTGTTTGCTTTTTTTATTTTTTTCTTTAAGAAAAAATAATATTTCGTTTTGTAGATGAATCCTAAAATAGTAATTTTAATTACTGTTTTTTCTCTTTGGAAATGAAAATAATTTATTTATCTAAATTTCTAGAAAAAAAGAAAAATTGTAATCGATCTCCTGTGTTTAGAATTAACTTTGAAATTTTATCGAATTTTATCTTTAATTATTATTTTTGTTTTCAATAAAAACATCGAACGTTTTTAATAATTTTATATTAGGATATTCGAAATACAAAAGAGAAATAAACGTATAATAATTTTTCTTGTTTTAATTGTTTTGATTGATTTTTCAGAGTAATAATAAATTTAATCATTAGTGTAAAATTCTTTTTCGATTTATTTATTATTTTATTTGTGAATATGTAGTTTCGACCTATTTTCAAATATTTCTGAATATTTCATTTTTTATATATTTTTCTTGCATATTGAAATAAATTGAAATTAAAATAATATTTTTAATTGAAATAAAAAATGTAATTGAGATGAAAATAATATCAAAATTTTTTCCATTTAAATTGCAATCATCATAACAAGAAAAAAAAATATAACAGTTTTCATTGTGAAAAAAAGGTAGTCAAAGTATATTTTTCAACATATTTTTTTTATTTCACAGAAAGGTTATTGTAATTGAAATTCATTCTCTGTTAGTGAAAACGTTTTATTAAACTCTGAAAGTTACAATAGCAGTAGAGTTTTTCTTTTCTGTTATTCGCGATCTTTTTTTCACTAAAGAATCACATACAAGATTATACAGTACTTGAGGCCCTTCATACGTAATAATCATGATAAATTTCGTCGTAATTTCGTGTCTACGTTCTCGTTTAAGTCAAGAAATAATTCAGTTTTTCGAAAAATTATTATCACGTATCAGAGAAACATTAATTTGAACTAAAATATTTTATCATTATCAAATAAATAACTAACTATCAAATAATCCCAATAAGTTATAAAAAATAAAGTATAATAATTAAAATAAATAGTTTTTCTTTTTCAATTCTTTTTTTAAATTAAAAATAGCGCGAAATAACGCAGACGCAAAATTGAAATTTTTTAAATTTATGTGATTCCTTTCGCAATAGCGTTTATGATCTTGTTTTGTGAACATTGATACACAAATAATAACACGAGCAAAACTAAAGGCTACTTAAATTAAAGGATAGACTAAGATCCTAAAATATAGCTCATTTATGAGTAAAATTCGTGTAAATATACTTTTAAAAATATTCCTCGTAAGAAAACAAGTTACGTCGTAAGCGACCGATAAGGACGAGAGTCTCAAATAGACTCGTGCTTTTACGTTCTATTCGACTTATTATATTGCCTTTGTCTGCGGTTGCCCGATGTTATCCGAAATTATCCGTAAATACCCGAATTTTAACCGAAGCCCGTGTTATTTGAATTTTGCTCACTGCTCGAAATTATTCGATGTTATTTAATGTTTCTCTAACTTTATTATTCGATACAATATTTATAAAAAATTCTTATCATCGAAACAATTGCCGAATAAGATTAATCTTTTCATTTTATAAAATTCTATCCAATTTTAAACACAACAGGATAAAATTTTGAAAAATTCATATTATCATTAAAAGTTCATTGTGTCTACATTATATCACGCAAAATTGTGTAATCAGAGCGGAATCAAAGGTCTTGATGATGGTTTCCGAGTATTGTCACGAAACTTCACACACGAAATTACGACGAGCTTGGATGCGACAAGAAAAATGATCATGTCGTTCATACATGCGAAGTTCCGTTACGTTACCACGTAATTTTCGAGGCAAGTGTGCGATAAGAAAGTTCAACGATAATTATAACTTGCACGAAACTGACTCTCATACGATCTTGTGTTTAAACGTATAGTAAATATTATTAAACGTATAGTAAGTACCGAAGAAATAGCGTGTACTTATATACGTACATATACTGTCGTTCAAAAATTTTAGAATATTTTGTTTTTAATTAAACTTTAATATATAATATAAAATATGTAACGTTTTAAATTAAATTGTGCGCGTTTTCTTCGATAAAATCATTAATGTACAATCGAACTTCCATAACCTCGAAAGCAAACAAAAAGATCAAGATTTTTATTAATCCTTAAACTTAATTCGAATAATAATTTGCTATCTGTGTCATTTCATCTCTATAGTCGAATTCAGATTAATTCAAGTGGAAGTTATTGCTTTTATAACTCGAAGTAACCATTCATCATTTTGATAACATTCGAAATCTACGAAAACAGAAAGTGTTTATATTTACGAGGAATAATTTAATATAGGGTATAGTATACATATAGATTTTTTTCGATAAATTTCAAAAATTCATTTCCCTTCTCAACTCAGATTATTTATCTCTTTTTTTTTTCTTAAATGAAAAATGTTCATTTCTAATTTGATGA